TATTGGCTTTTAGCACTCTAACTCATCCAACACTGAAAAATTAAAATATTACTTATAAATTATATGAGAGAGATGGCTAACTGTCACGCATAAGCAAGTGCACAATATTCCTTCAAGGAATAGGCAAGTGAAACAATAATGGCCACTGTGTGCTTCAAAGACTGAAGGCCATGATAGATCATGTACACTAAGGTAGCTTACCTGAAGCCTGAGACTAGTGCAGTGACACTGGATATTACCTCATGGAGCTACGCATGTCAGTGGAATGAAAGAAGCAGAACACTGAAATACAAGAAGGAGGCAACAGTGTCCTAGAGAGGGACAAAAAAATCAGTAACCCACAGAAAAAGGTAGTACTGAGTAAGTGGAGAACTGGAATAGTGAACAATGATGCTGTTTCCTTTTGTTGATGTCTGTTGTGTTCGGTACAACAGGACTTCTTCATATACTTCCTTGTGAATAACCAGAATTGCATCAAGGAGGTCAGTCATCAACATCTCATGAACTTTAGGGATTTTTACTGCCAAGAGCATGTCACTTTAATTTGATCTTGTTTTGTAGCTATTTTAATACTTTCGTGCAAGCTTCTTGTACATAAATGAGACAGTCCATGAAAAAGAGTTGCTGCCATTTAACTAAGTAGGACTTATGTTAAAATGGTATAGATTATTCCAAGGGAATCCTGAAATGCCAAATTGGTTTAGTGAGAAGGAACCTTGAGAATCTATTAATGCAGAAGTAAGCATGACATACTCTAGTTTTTGATATGTATCTCCAAAAAACCATAAAATATTAGCAGCTTAAAACTATAACTTTCAAAAGCTTAGTGGATATAGTTTTTTACAGCAGTCCAAACTGTTCACTAAATCCAGTGTAGCTTTTTGATAATTTTATTCTCTTGAATATGTGTGCCACTTCATATGTAAATATAGTTAAAGTGAACTGTCGAACAATCTAAAGTCACTCCACTCAAGCAGATAGAGCTGTAGTCTGTCCTGGAACATTGGAAGCCATTTAACATGTGATTCAGCTATGCAAACACCCACAGTATTATGTTTGTGAAGCTCTTACGCAATATTTTTATTTGTGGAATACTCTTAAAATGGGAAGATATAATGGTGTTCTGGTAACTGGCACATTGTCAATTACGATAACTACTTAACCAGATTTTCTTGTAAACACACCATGCAATTCTTAAGTCAGTTGTAAAAAAATATACATTTACTTTTGGCTAGGAGGCTACCTCTAAAAACATAGACAGGCAGAGATTTTTAGTTATAAAGCTGAGTTTGGCTATCTTTGATTTCAGCTCTGTTCTGTTTCAGTAACAAAATATTATTGTGGAAGTAACACATTGCTACTATGTTATATGTTGGATATACAATGCTGAAAACACTTTTTCACATACGTGATTTCAGCCAATCCTAAAATGGAGTCCATTACATGTTTTATATTTTATCCTTAGCATTATACAAACTGAAACAATGCACAGAAGAGCATAAACAAATTAATTAGTACAATCTTTGACCCTTCCATATTTCTATGTGACAGTTGAAGATGATTTAGAACTTTCCTGGGTAAAAATCATACACATGAGAAAAAGTAAAGCTTTGTATTTAATAAATGGTGCTTAACACCTGTATTACAGCTTATCAGGGGAAAAATGGTGGGTTTTGTACCATGAAAGCTTCTTGTGTGCTGCAACTTCTTTTTAGTCTGAATGATAAAAGGATGATATTATGAACACATTATCTTATGTGTGCTGATTTTAGAATCATGGAAACGTAGAATGGTTTGGGTTGGAAAGGACCTCAGAAATCATCTAGTTCCAACCTCCGTGCCATGGGCAGGGACACTGTCCACTAGAACAGGTTGCTCAAAGCCCCATCCAGCCTGGCCTTGAACACTTCCAGGGACAGGACATCTACAGCCCCTCTGGGCAACCTGTTCCATTGCCTCACCACCTTCACAGTGAAGAGTTTCTTCCTTATATCTGATCGAAATATACCCTCTTTCAGTTTAAAACTGTTAACCCCTTGTCCTATCACTGTACTCCTTATCTTTCCTGTAGGCCTCCTTCAGGTACTGGAAGGCTGCTATAAGGTCTGCCCAGACCCTTCGCTTCTCCAGGCTGAACAACCCCAACTCTCTCAGCCTGTCCTCATAGGAGAGGTGCTTCAGCCCTCTGGTCATCTTCGTGGCCCTCCTCTGGACTTGCTCCAACAGGTCCATGTCCTTCTTGTACTAGGGACCCCAGAGCTGGACACAGTACTCCAGGTGGGGTCTCTTGAGAGCGGAGTAGAGAGGGAGAATGACCTCCCTTGACCTGCTGATCAGACTGCTTTTGATGCAGCCCAAGATATGATTGGCTTTCTGAGCATATGTTGCCGGCTCATGTTCCAACTTTTCATCCGCCAAGTCCTTTTCCTCAAGACTGCTCTCAATCCACTCATCTCCCAGCCTGTATCCATGTTTGGGATTGCCCAAAGCTGTTAAACCTCTGTCAGATAAAATACCTGGGGAGGTACTCAGCTGGAAGTGCTAATACAATGGGAACAAAGACCACTGATTTATTGTGCTATTACTTTTAAACATCCACAAAAGATATAAGATGGTTTTAATACCACTGACTGTTTTTACTGTGCTTATAGGAACTGAAAAACATGTTTATTTAGTGTGGAAGTCAGAAACAGCATTTTATTCTTTATACATACTTTTGTCCAAAACTGGATTAAAGAGTAATTAATGATCCTTGACATATTTTGCTTCACTCCAAACTCTCCCAAGAGCAGCAAATCTGAATATGGTTTGTGTGAACAGACAGTTCTTTACTGGTTGCGTTAATTTCTATGACATTTGCCAGTCTTCAGTATTGGATGTATCTAACAGGTCTATGAAAGACCTTTCTCTCTTACTTTTATGCTTGTATGACTTCCGTACATTTTGAGAGTCTTCTATTTAATGTATTTATTCTTGCAAAATCATTCTTATGATGGTAGCCTATAGACTTCTTGAATAACACAAATATCTGACTTTACACTGTATATATTTCTTGTTTAACTGAACCACAGCCATACATTTTAGTCATCCAGTCTTTGTTTAAAGACTTCAAGTGATGCAGATTCTACTTGTTATCCTCAATAAATTGTTTAAATGATTAATAAATCTGACTTTAAAATGCCATACATTTTTTCCGCTTTCTAAATTCAGAGCCCACCCATTGAGTAACGATCGCTTACATTAAGAATTGAGTCATGCTATGAACAGGTATTCTCCCTCCTTGCAAAAGTCATTAACCATTGTAAGATTCCCAGTAAAAAATACTTGCTGAATGATTTTGAATTTTTGAATGATTCTTAGTGTAGGCTACTCATGAAAAATTTATTGCAATTATTAAATATTTGAAATTCAGAATATGAAGTTAATTAGTTGATGTAATTAGTAAAGAGAAATACTGCCAGGTAAACGGATCCCAAATAATACACCAGAAATTATTCAGAGAAAGTGTGCAACAAGTATTAGTTTTCAAAAGGAAGTTGATGGCATGAATATTTATATTGTGGAATGTAAAACTCCTTTTACTGCTTTTCATAGAATCATAGTATCATAGAATGGTTTGGGTTGGAAGGGATCTTAAAGATCATCTAGTCCAACCCCCCTGCCGTGGGCAGGGACACCCTCCGCTAGACCACGTTGCCCAAAGCCCCATCCAGCCTGGCCTTGAACACTTCCAGGGAGGGGGCATCCACAGCTTCTCTGGGCAACCTGTTCCAGTGCCTCACCACTCTAACAGTAAAGAATTTCTTTCTAACATCTAATCTAAATTGACCCTCCTTCAGCTTAAAC